AAGCCTTGGTACCGTAAGAGTTTTAAGCGGGGCAACGCGCGATTTGGAACAAAGCAGATTGGTCTGAATGTATCCTTCTCTTTCAGCTCGTATGTATATGCAGGCCCCATAAGCAGCAACACTTGCATCACAAAAGGCATGCATCTGTAGGTCAGCTTCGGGCATTAGCAGGTATCGGTCGAAACTAAAATGTGCAACTAGCTTATATTGACTGCACATTTCCAGCCATTCCGATTGTATTGCCTGCGATGGGCTTTCATCCCAATGTAGCTTCTCCTTCCACAACTGCTGCAGGAATATTTTGGCCTTGGCCACCACAGGTCCGATCAAACCAAGCGGGTCATACAGTCTAGCAATGGCTGAAAGAATAGTACGCTTAGTTACCTTGGCCGGCGTTGCAAAAGGCGAAAATGAAAATATAAAAACGTCCAAACTGGGGTCCCAAACCAATCCAAGTGCCTTTGTTATGTGTGTATCATCATCGAACTTTAGGAATTCCTGTTTGTCATTAGCTGCTATATCAGTCAAAATGCGATTATCGTTTGAGCACCATTTTCTCAAATGAAAGTTTCCAAGAGACAGCAACTTCCTCGTCTGATTTAGCATAACCTTGGCTTCGTCCACCGAGTCGGCGCCGGATATCATATCATCAACATAGAATGCATGTTTTATTGTTTCAGCGCCAACCGGATAGAGGTGCGCTTCGTCCTGGGCAAGTTGCTGCATCGATCGAATCGATAAAAAAGAGGCAGGCTTTGTTCCGTAGGTGACGGTATCTAATTTAAAAATACGGAACTCTTCATTAGGGCTGTCTCTCCATATTATGCATTGAAGAAAGTTATCTGGATAAGACATTCTTACACAGCGATACATTTTACAAATGTCTGCTGTAAGAGCAATTTTAAATGTACGAAATCTGAGCAAAATATCAAAAAGTTGTTGTTGAATGGTTGGTCCTTTCATCAGCATCGAGTTCAGCGAACGTCCAGTGCTAGTGGGCGCCGAGCCATCAAACACCACACGCAGTTTTGTTGTTGTGCTATCGGCCTTTAAAACGCAATGATGCGGCAAAAAATTTATAGGAACTTTGCTTGGTATAGCGTCAACGACTGACATGTGATTCAAATCAAGGTACTCCTTGATAAACGATGAATATTGTTTTTTAAGTTCAGCATTTCGCTGCAATCTTCGTTCCAAAGCTCTGAACCGATTAACAGCCTGCTGATAAGGCTTTCCCAGTTCGAACGAAGGTAATTTTGTTGGTAATCGAACAGAAAACTCACCGGATTTTAAACGTCTGTAGTTTTTAAAAAAATGAGCTTCACACAAATCTTCTTCTGCCGTAGTCTTTGGCGAAGATTCTTTACAGGTTTCTACTTCCCAAAAGCGTTCCACTAATTTGTTTAATTCGACATCAGAGTCATTTGTTAGAGCCATGTCGATGGCTGTTAGGCACGATAATTTTGCAGCGTTGTACGCAGTTGCGCCCGATACTATCCAACCCAATTTGGTTTTTTGCAAAATTGGCATACTTTCAGCCAAGCGTATTTGACCAACACAAAGTAGGTCGAAAAATAAGCTAGCTCCAATGAGCATGTCAATGCGTTGAGGTTCAAAGAATAATGGATCCGCTAAGCGTATATTCGAAGGTATGTTCCAATCAACGCATTTTAACGAGCGACTTGGTTGAATATCGGTAATGGTGGATGTGACGACTGCTGTCAAGTTAGCCGTATAATCAGTAACACGCGAATGGAGCCTTAAATCAACGATATGATTGGTGGCGAAATCATTTTGGCCTATGCCAGAAATGAACTGTGACGAGTTAACTTTCTTTAACTGAAGCTGACTAACAAGTCGATTAGTTACGAAGTTGAGTTGTGACGCAGAATCTAGCAAAGCTCTGCAGGGAATGAGAGAGCCAGATCGATTTTTTAAATAAATGATGGCAGTTGCTAAGAGAACGAAATCTCGGTTAGCAAAGCTAGCTTGAGCTTCAGAGCTGACAAGTGCAGAAGCTGATGGGCCGAAGGTTGAAGAAGAATGTGGCAAATACGGGTGCATAGAAGTGGGGAGCATTGTTGTTGCTTGTGCTTGCGATGGGGATTTAGCACACGTCAATGTTTCAGAAGAATTCGCAAATGAATTTGTGTCTTGATAAAGCAGACTGTGATGCTTCGACGAGCAATGCCTACACTGGCCGGACTTACAGTCCTTAAGAGAGTGACCACGTCTCAAGCAAAGGTGCAACCTTTTTGCTTCTTTGTAACGCATTAAAGGCGACAGGCCTAAAAATCGTTCACAATTTGCAATTCGATGTTCACTAGAGCTGCATAATGTACACCCAACTGCAGCCGATGTTAACGAAACCTTGCGATTGTTGTTGTTATAAGACAGTTTCTTTCCTACCTGTTTTTCCGGCGTCGCAAGAGCGTTTTCTACATTTTCCAGTCGCTGACAGCGTTGTTCTAAAAATGTAGCCATCGAATCCCACGTTGGTATTTCGTTTGCAGGTGTTTGCTCCTCCCATTTGGCACGAGACTTGATGTCCAACTTTTGAGAAACTAGCTGAATTAATAAACAGTCGGCGATCTGCTCCTTTGTTCCCACAGTCTGCAACGCGCGCAAGTGAGCATTTAGAGCATCGCTGAGTTCACGAAGTTTGGCTACCTTTTCACCCTCTACCCTCTTCAGCTGAACAATATCTCTGATATGAGCCTGGAAATTCAAACGTTTATTATTGA